CTCCCCTACCTTTCTTAACAAATGCATGAGCAAATGAATGAATGGATGAATGCGGTAGTATGTGATTGTGAGTCACAGCCAGCTTGGGCAACATGGGGAGAGCCTGTCTGACACACGACATAAACGTTGCACTTGTGGTCCCAGCTACTCAGAAGGTTGAGGCAGGAGGATAGAAACACAGCGAGACTCCATCTAAAGCACCACACACACACATATGCACACATACACATGCACACGCACACACACACACGATGCAATCAATCACTGTTCTTCAAGGTTTCAAAACTTTCAGCTTTGGGACCAGCAGTTAGCGTAATGGCTATGTTGCTGGACTCTCATGTAGTCAACCGTGGTTCGCGTCCCGGACCCGGTGTCTTAAAACTCATGCCGGGTGCGTGTGTGTGCATGCCCAAGATCCCGAGAGGAGAATGGAGAAGGGATTGCAGCGTGGCCATCCCCCCCGGGGGTTGATTTCTCGCTTTCTGTCTCTCTTTGTCTCTCTGGCGAGCACACGTGCCCTATAGCAAAAACCTCTCCAAAAAAAACCCCAAAAAACAAACAACAAACCTTTCAGCTTTAACTAGCTTTAATTTATGACCTACTTGCTCAAAGTTGGCTCTAATTTTAACTCATTTTACTCAGTGTCTGATTTCTGAACAGATTCCTAGAGTTTAGCAACTACAAAGATCAGCATTGGTAACGAGTCCAGTCTAAACTGATGCTTTCCAGTGGCCACTAGTGTTGCTCTTTTAATCCATAACCTGCTAAAATAACAAACTCAGAACAAGATGAAAACAACCAGAGAAACTGAGATGGACAGAAAGCTCATAATGTCAGAATCTTGGAGAAATCTCCCAAACCTGTAATGCCAGAGAAGCTAAGCTGGCCTACCTGGCGTTGCCTTATAATACAATCTACTTGAAAAGAGGCAAGAAAACGGCCTGGGAGTGGGTGGTGCTAATTTTTGACATGACCAGAGTATAAGCACCTTCTCAACTTTCGATTTGCAGTGAGAGATCGCAACTCTCAGCACTCAATGGGCACGAGAAGGGGAGGGTCTGGCAGTGGGCACGCTATATTCTGGGACATGTCCCCAGAAATAAAACTGAATGTACAGAGTCAGGAAGAGTCGAGAAACTGCATGCTGGTGTCTTTTTAGCTCATCAAAGACCCAAGAGGCTAAAGAGAAGAAAATGTAACTAAGTTGATCAGGTTCAAGGAGTATGAGACACTGAATTCTGAAAAGCCACCAGGAATGCAGTTAAGTATATCAACTTGACCTCAAGCTACAGATCTGAGAAAGAATTGACCAGGCAACATGACCAGAGGCCAAGAAATGGCCACATGCTCTGCGTGGACAGACCCTTCATCACCTATGCTCAGAGGAAGAGTGGATAGCCGGTAATGATCTAGAAAAAAAAAAATGGAGATTTTAGAAAAGTCTTCAGGAATACTCAAGGTTGGTTCCGTGAACAGAAATATAGAAATTCTAAAGTAGAAATAACAATGGGCTGAGGTTAAGGTCAAGAAGATGAGATGGAAACCAACCATTGATTCAGGTCAGTGGGTGTTGAAAAGAGATCTGGCTCTTCCAGACAGATGCATGGCCTTGGGCAAACCACCGAACTTCTTTAAATGTTAGTCTCTCCATTGGTAACACATGGATCAAGATACCTGTTTCACAGGTTACCTTCAGCTTTAATGCAATAAGAAAAATAAACAGCAAAAGCACAGGGCCTGGGCATGTAGCAAATATTTAATAAATACTGGTCATCATTATTACTAACAAGCTTAGAGTAAAAAAAAACTGACTGCAGCAAAGAAAGAACTGAAAGGGACCAGCAGATGATGTAATGGCTATGTCACGGGGCTCCCGCATAGTTGACTGCAGTTCCAGTCAGACCTGGGGGCTTAAACTCACACCAGGCAGGTGTGCATGTGTGCCCAAAATCCCAAGAGGAGAATGGAGGAGAAGGGAATGTGGGGGGGCCATCCCCCCGGGGGGGGGGGGTGATTTCTTGCTTTCTGTCTCTCTGTCTCTCCAGCTAGCACACACGCCCTATAGCAAAAATCTCTCTAAAAAGGAATTAAAAAAAAAAAAACTGAAAGAAACTAAAAATACAATCAATAAAAATCTACACTGGAGATACTACAGAGCAGAATAAAATGGCAAAAAAAATGTCTAGTTGGTAATGGACATAAGCTCCAGACAACTAAGAAAAAAGACCAAGGATAGACAAGCTGAATAAGTGCTCCCACTTATTAATTAAAAATATTTTTGAGAAATAAATCAGAACAACAAAAAACAACAAGCTAAAATATGAAATTCCCGCAGTGAAGAATAATCTCTGCATGTAGATCAAAGGGCTCATTATATTTCAGGCAAAATTAATTTAAAAATATTTTAAAGTCCTATTTCTAGATATAACTTAGAAAATTTAAACTAGGAAGATAATTTTTAAAAATTTCTACAGAAAAAGTTCCAGGGACCCGCTTAACCAGAAAGCTCTTTGAAACATTCTGCAAACTGCTCCAAAACATATTTTGGAGAAAAAGATGGAAGAGCCATACAAATTGTTCCGTGAGATGTGTATAACCAAGATAACAAAACTTGAGAGAGGGGGGGGAAAAATCAACCCCTCTTTCATTTCTGAATTAAAGCAAAAACCCTAAATCCTCGAATTCAGCAGTATAATAAAAATTCATTCACATGCGCATGTTAGAATTACCCCAACAAAGCAAAGGTAGGCCAAGATAAATTTATCTATTAATATATCATGGTGTCAGAATATGACAGTCCTATTATAAGATAATCCCCATTTTCTCAGTGAGGAGCTCCGAATATTTTTCTGTCACCCTGAATAAATATTATGGGTATTCATGGAATAATCAACTATTTAAAATATAGTTTCACAAACACATTTGGAATCGGTGTTAAGTATCCTGGATTTTTTTTTTTTAATTGATTCTTTCTGGAGACCTTTATAAGCATTCAATATCAGCACTGATCAAAATGCTGTGTCAGGCTGTTCAAAATAAAGAAAATGGAGAAGGACTCGCAGAACGTGACAGATCTTGTAAGGATTCGAGTATGTGTCCTCGTCCAGAAGGGTATGTTTTGTAGGAAAAACAAATTTTATCTTAAATTCAATCTTCTTCACAGCAAGGCAGGCTTAGAAAATTACGGTATTTGGATAGCACTAATGTAACTAAATAAAGCTGCTTATTGTAGACACTCCCCCCACCCCCACCTCTGGCTGGGCTCCTCCATTGATCAATACTGACCCCCCCACCCCATGGAGAACACCACTCTATCAGGATAACATCAACATCGCCATCTCACAGGCAGGTCACTGCAGTGGAGCCAGAAACAATGACCCCTGGCTCTACCCGGCTATGGGACCTTGGGCAAGTTCTTTGCCCTTTACGTTGTTTAGTTCTCACATTTGCAAAATGGGATAATAGTTCTTCAAAAATTAATTATACATTGTTATTAGTTGAACTAGTTCATGTAAAGCACTTTAAAACTATGTCCCATACATAATAAGTGTTCAGTAAATGCTAGATTTGATTGCCATGTCTCGTGAAAAACAAAGCAAAACAAAAAACTCTTAAAAAGAGAAAGGTAGGGCAGGCAGGTGGCATGGTGGTAAAGGCATTGGACTCCCACATGGCTGAAAGCGGTTCGAGTATCAGACCTGGCAGCTTTCTCACTTTCTCTTTCTCTCTCTCTGGTCAAATTGAAAATAATAATAATAATAAATAAAATTAAATAATTCGTTTAGAAAAAAGTAGAATACTAACACTCATTCCTCAGATAGCACCTCCTCCCTACCCAGTCACTTCCAGTAAAACTCCTCAGATGACAAGCTCTGATCTCACACTTGGAATTTCCAGACACATTTTTATGTTTTAGCCAAGGATCAATAAGGATATGAGAAAGCCACTGTCGTGGAAAATAGACTAACACAAAGACAGAAACAAACTGAAAAATCAAAAAAGAATTTGAAAGTAAAAGACACTGTTGGGAACATAAGGAAACTTTTAAAAATATGTATATACCTATATACATATATACATATGTACACATATTAAAATTAAGGGTTCAGGGAACCAGCAGTTAGCGTAATGGCTATGTCGCTGGACTCTCACGTAGTCGACCTCGGTTCGAGCCCCAGACCAGGTGGCTTAAAACTCACGCCGGGCGCGTGTGCGTGCATGCCCAGGATCCCGAGAGAATGGAGGAGAAGGGATTACGGCGTGGCCATCCCCCCTGGGGGGGGTGATTTCTCACTTTCTGTCTCTCTGTTTCTCTCTGTCTGGCGAGCGCACGCACCATATAGCAAAAACCTTTCAAAAAAAAAATGAGGGGGAGGGGATCATATACACAACAGATTAGGAGCCAAAAAGGTATTGCCACAATGAAAATAATTTTCAAAATTTATCTCTGAGAGCTGGGATTATACATTTTCTTTCTTCTGTATTTTTTTTAATTTTCTATAGTCAACGTGCATAACTTTTATCATCAGAAAACAATCTGAATACTAAAAAACTAGGGGATTCTAGATTTAAATGTCCCCAATTCTTATCTGTCTTCAAAATGTCACCATCTGTCATTTTCCAGTGATACAAAGAGTCAACAGGAGCCATAGTCATAGAAGAGACCTGAGCTGCAGACAGAGGGGAGAATAAGCCATTCCAGGGTTTCACTATCCAAAAGCCCAGGGTGTGAGTGCTATCAACTCGTATTTACTTGGTTAGTGAACACTTGTTTTTGAGCATACTCCCAAACTATTTTGCCCTTTGCAGGAAAGGAGGAAAGACCCATAATTCTTTTCTGTAGACGCATCTTTCTGGCCATTGTTACCATGCCTCCAAGACTGCAGTTAGCATTTATTTTAATAAGGAAATGCTAACTGCTCCAATCTGTCTTCATTCCACTTATCGAACACCATGTCCTAGGCTTTGCCAAGAGATGATTTTCCTATTGACAGACTTACCTGTGGAGAAGATAAACACCGTGTTGTTCCAGAGCCCACGACTTTTTAAGGCTGCAGTGACATTTCCTACTGCTTCATCCATAAGGGACACCATTCCTGCATAGTGATGCCTGTTCTTATCTTGGATGAAGTCGTATGGCTTCAGGTACTCCTCAGGGACTTGAAGGGGCTCGTGGACAGACTGGAGAGCAAGGTAGAGAAACAGAGGCTGGAAAGAGAGTGTGGTGCAAATCAGTTAGGAGGGCATTAAATATAAAAGGATAAGATAACCCAGCCTTAGCCGTTAATAAAAATTATATTATGAAAACCCACAAAATGCACTGAAAATGTTTATAAAACATATACGTGGTAAGGGCCTTATAACCAGAATATATAAAGAACTTAACAATTCAACTTACAACTCAACAATAAAAGATAATTCCTCCGATTACAAAAATGGGCAAAGAATCTGAACGGATAGTTCTCCAAAGATATGACTGTCACACATGAAAAGATGGTCACCGTCATCGGTCATTACAGACACGCAAATCAAATCCGCAGCAAACTACTGCTTCTTCCTCACAAGGGTGGCTATCATTTTTAAAACGGAAAATAACTAATGTCGGTGAGGATATGGAGAAACTGGAGTCCTCGCTCAGAGCCAAGAGGAAACTAAAATGGTATATGCAGCCACTTTGGAAAAACAGTTTGGTAGTTCTTAAAATTGTTAACTATATAGGGTTACCATATGACCTAAGATTTCCATTCCTGGAGAAATGAAAGCTTATATACGAAAAAACTTGTAGGACTGCTTATTGCAGCATTATTCATAGCAGCCAAAAAGTGAAAACAGCCCAAAGTATCCATCAATTCATGAATGGATAAACAAAGTATGTTACACACAGACATCAAAACCTTCATGGGGAAAGGGAATTCTGTACGAGTTTATTTACTTATTTCAGTCATCAGAGGACATGTGCACTCCTCAGAGAAACAGAGTGAGGAAGAAAGCATCCCCAAATAGGGGCATGGTCACGTTATAATTCCTTCCTCTCCTGTTCTCCATCCTGTCAGGATTTGGAGCACATAGAATATGCACCTAGCATGCTCTTCAACTGCTAGGGGTGGGATTTAAACTATGCTTGGCCATGTGAGATCCAGCTCCCTTAACCACTAGGCTTCAGGACTAGCCCTAGCATAAGTTTATTTTGTAGCAAAATCAATTTTGAAATCCATACATTTTTTTCATAATTTGCATTTTCTATGTGTCTTTTTGAATACCCCTCTCGCATCCTTGTGAGAGAATAAGGGGTAACCATATGTAGACACCCAAACATGTATTTATTGTTTAGATCTTCAAAACTTAGAAATAAATTTATTTTCTCTCTTTTTAAAATAATTTGCTACAGGCCACATGCACTTGGCCAGGGAAGAGGGCAGGGAGAGAATTCACTCTCCCAGGGGGATGACCATACAACAACCCCTTCTCCTCTTAGGATTGTGGGTATACAAGCACATGCCCCGGCATGTTTTTCAAGCTGCCAGGTCTGGGACTTGAACCACGCACTCAGCCATGTAGGATCCAGCCACCTTAACCATCACACTACCTGGTTGGCCAGTTTCCCTGCACCTCTAGCCACAGCCTCGGCTCACTGTTAGCCTAAGGCAAGCAGTCACCCTCCTGGGGCTGGACTCACTGTTACTACCTGCTACTGACTTGGGTCCTGGCCCAACCACACCTTGGCCTTTGGAGACTGGCTGGCCCATTGTGACCCTTCTGCATCCTGATTCCAACGATGGAATGCTGGGCCTGACCTCCATCTCCACCGACCTGTGGGTTCATGCTGGAGCCTCACTGCTCGCCTTTTCTTGGGGTCCAGTTCCCTGTTCTGATCAATTCAGAGCTGCTACTTTTACACCGGGCCTAATGTAACCCTTTCAGGTGCTAGGAACATGGAATCCTAGATGTAAGATCATGATTAAATAGTTACATATTATGTAAAAGACAGACATTATCATCATAAGCTATACTCATGTGTAAGATGCTAAGGATTCTTTTTCTTCACATATTGTACCATATGGTTCCTAAGATGTATACTCTAAATATCCCCACCATGCTAAGAAACCTTATTTCAGTGAGGAAGAAAGTTTTTTTTTTTTATTTTTTAGCATATTTTTCCTAGCATAAATTTAAAAAAAAAGCATATAGTAGGTTTGAAATTGTTATTTGTATCTATGACTCCCAAATCATGACTTTGGTGGGTTTATTGTTTGTTTGTTTGTTTGTTTGCCATAGGGCATGTGTGCTCACAGAGAGAGACAAAAACAGTGAGAGGGAAAGTGAGAAATCACCCATCCAGGGGATGGTCACGTTGCAATCCCTTCTCCTCCATTCTCCTCCTGGGATTTTGTGCATGGACACGTACGTGCCTGGCATGATTTTCAAGCCTCCATGTCCAGGACTTGAACCTTAGTCAGCCATGTGAGAATCCAGCATCTTAAGTACCACACCACCCGCTGGCCCCAGGGCACTCTTCTTAACACATGTGAAATGGTTATTAGCAGTATCTCTCTGAATCTAGCAGCAATGGCTGTGCTTCTGTTATTAAATACCTCCATATGCTTTTCTTCCCTCAAGCCCTCTTTAAATAAGCACAATTTTAAGTTGGCTTGTGGATACTTATGTGTATGTCACTAATAATTTCCATCTTACAACAAGTTGCGTATTATAGTCTATATATAGTACCTGAGAAATTAACACAGAATTAAACACTGTGATCAAATGATGAAAAGTGCAACTCCTGAAACTGATGAGATGCATTTGAGACTTGAAAATGTAAACATCTGCATTAGCTGTCTTAAACAAACATCCTTGAGTTATTCCTCAACTACTGATGACTTCATTCATTTGTGCCTGTAGGAAAATAACCATCCTCTCATCTGGTGATTTCCATAATGTTAATTATGAGTAGCTAATAACACTTCCTTGGTGGCTTGCAAGGTCTTAGGGCCACCCATTGTCCTTAGTTCCTGGACTGTCCCCCCACCCCAGTTAAGGCAGCCCACCCACAAAGAACTATGTCACTCTGGCTGCTTTCTCTTATCTGCTTAATATTATGGGGCACTATGAGAAATGCTCTATTTTTCTGTAATGAAGGGAATTTTATTACAAGCAGATTATAGTCATTGCATGATTAAAGTATTGTCAGAACATAAGCGTGCAAAAGGGAGGTTGGTTTCTGCTTGCCTCTGTGTTGGATGGGAGTGCCCTGAATGATACGCCACAGGACACTCTTACCTGCATCCAGTGTCAGCAGTGGCTGCATATCCAAATCACAGGTTGGACATGGGGGAGGGAGGACAATGAAATACAGTGCCTGGGCCCCACCTCAGACCAATGAATCACAACTTTTTCCTTGAAGTTTCCCAGCTGATTCTAACATACAGTTAGGACAGGAACCATGAAGTTGAATCATGGACTGAGACTTAGACTCACTGGTTTTAGATATTAGCTGTGATCTAGGGAGGCTGATTAGGTGCATAAGCTCTAGAATAGACATGAATTTAAATTCTGCTTCTGACTTTCAGTAACTCTTTGACCTTAAACAACTTATTTAACTTCCCTAAGCCAGTTTGCTTATGTGTAAAACAGCGCATACCTCAAAGGGTAATATGCCCTTCCCCTGCCTGAGACCTTACTTTGTTCTTTTTTTTTTTTTTTTTTTGGAGAGATTTTCACTGTAGGGCGCGTGCGCTCGCCAGACAGACAGAGAGAGACATAGAGACAGAAAGCGAGAAATCACCCCCCAGGGGGGATGGTCACGCTGCAATCCCTTCTCCTCCATTCTCCTCTCGGGATCCTGGGCATGCATGCACACGCGCCCGGCGTGAGTTTTAAGCCACCGGGTCCGGGACACGAACCGCGGTCGACTACGTGGGAGTCCAGCGACATAGCCATTACGCTAACTGCTGGTTCCCACCTTACTTTGTTCTTTAGATGTTAAGCTGTATCTCTAAAACGACAGGCATCTGGAGGAAAACTGAACATAAGCCAATTACTCAGCAGCTGCCTTTCCAACTATCAGAATATTGGTTTTGATCTGAACTTAAAACCTTGTTTTTGGAGCCAGCAGGTGGCATACCGCTTAAGACACTGGACTCCCACACAGCTGCTCATGTTTCAAGTCCCAAATCCGGTGGCTTGAAAATCACACTGGGCATGTGTATGCGTGTGTGCCCAAAATCCCAGGAGAGAATGGAGGAGAAGGGTCTGTGGTATGACACTTAGCCCTGGGGAGTGATTTCTCATTTTCACTCTCGCTATCTCTCTTTCTCTCTGGTAAGAGCACATGGCCTATGGCAAACACCTTAAAAACAAATAAAACAATCCCGTTTTCCCTATAAGAGAACATTCTTATTTCATGTTCCACAGCAACAGTGGTTGTTCCAAGACGTCAGCATGTAATAGTGAAAAAAAGCCAAAAGTGAGCAAAGCTAAGGATACACACCAGGGAAGATTCCCAACATAGAGTTATAGAGCAGGCACATGCAGGGCCAGGGAGCAATCGAGCCCAAAAGGGAGTTAGCAGCTGAGTATCAGGTCAGAAGGAGTGTCAGAGGCAGAAGCCACCTTGTGACCTGCTCTGAGGGCCTCCAGGCATTGCCAGAGAGGCAAAGTGCCGGAAATTGGGAGAACCGGACCACAGTGCACTGTAATTTGTTGTGTCAGGGTGCAACTGCACCAATAGTTTCGCAGGTGTGTTCATGCAGCTCATAATAATGGCATGTTTTGAGCCCAGGGTCTGTCAGAACAAATATCTGACTCTGTTTCAAAGCAATGATAAGCTAAGTACAGAGAATTTAACTTAAACTTAAGCTGATAAGGTTAACTAAAGGTTAACAATAACAAACTAAGCCTATTCAGACTCTTTTCTATTTTTACCTATTGATAAGTCCAAAGATTTCAGGACACATACACAATAGCTTCAGTATAGGAAATGTGAAAAACGGGCTCATCAATACACCAAATGTATGGATTGGAAGGACTCAATACTGTTAAGACGTCACTTCTCCTTGAGCTAGCCTATAGATTGTGACCAAATCCAAGCAGGTAGTTCTTTCTTCTGTCTGACAGAGATTTACCAGCTGATTCTAAGTTTCAACTGGGAATGCAAAAGATCTAGAATAGCCAAAATAATCTTATGGTGGTGGTAAAGGAATACAAAGTTAGAGGATTTATTCTGAATATAAAATTTGTAAATCCCTTAATAGAAAAATTGTCACAAGAAAGTTTCATATAAGCCAGTTTTTAAAGAGTCATTTTACCAATTACTTTCAGCAATACAATACGACAAAATAATAAAACTATGAGATGTCAAAAAGTTTGTAGAAAAGTGGATTTAAAGCATGCATTTATTTTAGTGGTATAAAGAAATCCACAGAATTTTTTCATGAACCTTTTGAATGACCCCCCCGCCCCATATAGTTCTGAGAGACTACAGACAAAATATTCTTCCAGGTGTGAAGGTGTGATCTGGGTCCACGCTCTTCAGAATCAGTTTTTAAGAGTTTCTTGGGACCAGCAGTTAGCATAATGGCTATGTTGCTGGACTCCCATGTAGTCAACCGTTGTTTAATGGCTATGTTGCTGGACTCCCATGTAGTCAACCGTGGTTCGCATCTCGGACCCAGTGGCTTAAAACTCACGCCAGGAGTGTGTGCATGTGTGCCCAAGATCCCGAGGGGAGAATGGAGGAGAAGAGATTGCGGCGTGGCCATCCCCCCCTGGGGGGTGATTTCTTGCTTTCTGTCTCTCTGTCTCTGTCTGGCGAACGCACGCGCTCTATAGCAAAAACCTCTCAAAAATAAATAAATAAATAAATAAGAGTTTCTTTAAAATGCTGATGTGTTTTCTCCCAGACCTACTAAATCACACCCTTGGAGACTGGCTCCAAGAATCTTCATTTCTAACGATCTTCCCAGGTTGATTCTGTTGTACTCTGAAATCTGAAAATTTCCATAGATTTCATTAGACTCTTACCTAAACAATAGTGACCTTTTCCTATATCAAAAAAGATGTTATGTTAGCAATATTTTGGTATCAACGAAGAAACAAGTCTTACCTTCTCTGGTGGGTGGTTAGTTATAAGGGTCGTAGCCCTTTCAGTAAATATGTTTGTTGAATACATATTTTTGTATCCTGTTGCAACTTCTTCACCATCTCGAAAATCAAGAGCGCATCGTGTGACATTCAAAGCTTCGATTAGTGTACAGCGCTCATGGGAATAGTAATCTTCACTCCCTAGAAGATATCCTGCACCAAGAAAGGAAGACCAGTGTAGTCAGCATAGCAGACAACTTGTTAAACAAACTCATGTTTCAGCATTTAACAGCCTAATGCAATTGATTACCCGTGACAAGGCTAATCAAATGACAAGGCCAATCAGAGCGCCATTTCTTAACATCTCTATATTTGGTGGCAAAAGGCCTTAAAATCTTACTGTATAAAAATTCAAATCCACTCCTCTCTCCCGTCTTTCAGAGCACAGACTTTCTGATGTAACTAAGTGGGTGCTTCCAAATAAACGTGGCTTAAAAAAACCAGAGTTCAGATGCAGGAAAGGCAGTAACCTTGTAATCCTTTAAAGTTAGCTGATGGCAAAAGGAATCTATGGGTAATGTGATTTGTCGTAAGTTTTTACTCTCAGGAGATCATGTAAATGAGCCCAGGGCGCAACACTTGTTATGAAGGTTAGGAGACTGGCTTCAAGGTTATTTACAGGCGCTGTGTTGAGAGGGTTCATCTTTAGTCAGAGGCTGACACCCACTGGTGAAAGATGCAAACCTTTCCAAACAGAGGCTCTCTAGACAGACAGCCAAAAGATCAAACTGAAACACGGCTCTGAAATTAGGTTTTCCTACCTTCGGTGATCTCACTTTTGCTCCCAGTTTAAGTGGCATCAACTGCCTATCTCACAATTTAGACTTAAGCATGCAAGAAAATGGATTTTCTTGATTAGTCGTCATTTCTGCAATGTTCCATGTTTTCCTAAAATATTAAAATAAGCTGTGCTGCGTGTTAGATAATTACATCTATAATAAATAGGCAAATCTATAGTGACAGAAATAGGTTAGTGGCTGCCGATAGCTGGAGGAGCAGGGGGAAAATCGAGGAGTGATTGCTCACGGGAATGGGTTTCTGTTTGGGGTATGGAAAATGTTCTACAATTGGATTATGACAATACTGGCACAAACCTATGAATTTATTAAAAATCATTGAACTGGACACTTTAATTGGGTGAAGTGTATGGTATGTGGTTAACTCAATAAAGCTATTAAAAAGAAAAAAGCTTTGCTGAATTCTTAGCTAGTTCCTGACATACATACTACTTATTAACCTTAAAATGAGGACAAGAAAATTCTCCTTTTCCTATAATGACAGCTAAGAACCATCTATACTTACATAATAAATCAGTTAATCTGTAATTAATTCCTCCTTTTCCATAAGCCAATAAACTCAAAGTCCTAAATACAAGAAATACCTTAAACTGTTATATGGTAATCTGTTCTTCTACATATATAGTAGAAAGAGAAACCCAAAATGTTTGTCAATTACTGTGTAATAAGAAAAGATATGTATTCATCAAAATAATTTCAGCCCTTTATATGGGTGGTTGAAGCCATCAAGACTGGAGTTCTATTTGGGATTTTTAATAACTATTGAGTATTTATTAGCTTGAAGGAAATCACTTCAGATTCTATCTGTAAACAGTTTCATATCATTTGGGAGAAAATATGCATAGGATATACCTGAGCACAAAATTTATGAACTGTAAATATCAAAAAGATATTACAAGGGTCCAGCATTTGGCAAGGTGGCTAAGGCACTGGATTCCCACATAGCTAACTGTGGTTCAAGTCCCAGACCTGGAGGCTTGAAAATCATGCTGGGTGCATGTGCATGCTGCCCAAAATCCTGAGAAAGGAATGGAGGAGAAGGGATTGTGGCATGGTCATCCCCTTAGGGGTGATTTCTCTCTCTCTCTTTCTCTCTCTCTCTCTGGAAAGAGTATACACTCTATGGCAAAAAATCTTGAAAAAAAAAAAAGGATATTACAATAGAAGAAATAATTCCAGAAATGGAACTATGTGTTCATATGCTTGGCCAAACTCATACCAAGCAACCATGTGCCAACCACAGAGTGATTTTCATCATAACAGTGAGTCGCTGTTTGTAAGATGAGCTTACAAATAGCATGTAAGTTTGAACTTACATGCTGAATCTAAAGATGATGGCAGCCTGTGCTTTCTTGAGAAAAACTAGAAAATGCTTTTTGAAGAACTAAATCTCTGACTGCTTGCTTGCTTTCTTTTTCTTAAACATTTTCCTTGTCTTCTGAAGGTTTTATGATGCATTGTTTTTATTTATTTTTAAGAATTATTCATTTAATTTTAATTATTTTTTTTAATTCAATTGGACCAGAGAGAGGGAGAGAGAGAGAGAAAGCTGCCAGGTGCAGGACTCAAACTAAGACTGATCTATGTGGGAGTCCAGTGCCTCAACGACCATGCCACCTGCCGGCTCCCTGACTACTTTATTTAACAGCTTTATTAAGATATAATTCACAGGGACCATCAGCTAGCGTAGTGGCTATGTCGCTGGACTCCCACGTAGTCGACCACGGTTCGTGTCCCGGACCCGGTGGCTTAAAACTTACGCCGGGCGCGTGTGCGTGCGTGCCCAAGATCCCGAGAGAAGAATGGAGGAGAAGGGATTGCAGCGTGGCCATCCCCCCTGGGGGGTGATTTCTCGCTTTCTGTCTCTCTGTCTCTCTCTGTCTGGCGAGCACACGTGCCCTAAAGCAAAAACCTCTCCAAAAAAAAAAAAAAAGATATAATTCACATACCATACAAGTCACTGGTTTTAAAGTGCATAGCCCGTTGGGAACCAGCAGTTAGTGTAATGGCTATGTCGCTGGACTCCCACGTAGTCGACCACGGTTCGTGTCCCGGACCCGGTGGCTTAAAACTTACGCCGGGCGCGTGTGCGTGCGTGCCCAAGATCCCGAGAGAAGAATGGAGGAGAAGGGATTGCAGCGTGACCATCCCCCCTGGGGGGTGATTTCTCACTTTCTGTCTCTATGTCTCTGTCTGTCTGTCTGGCGAGCGCACGTGCCCTACAGTGAAAATCTCTCCAAAAAAAAAAAAAAGTGCATAGTCCGTTGATTTTTAGGGTCTTTGTAGGGCTGTGCAACCATCCTTCAATCATGACTGCTTGTCCCAGTGGTGATGGCTCCATGGCCATCATACCTTTCTTGGCTGCAAATCTCCATTTATATGAATGTGGGGCAATTGTTCATCTAAGTCAAGGTGAGTCTTCTTAATTTTCAAAAGATATCATTTCTACCTTTGATTCAACTGAATTTTCAAGTACATAACTTGGCTTTTGATTAAAAATAAATAGCTAAAGTCCATCCCTTTGCCAGAGTACAGAGAGTAACTCATCTTTTACCAAAGCCCTCATTGAAAAACTGCAGTCAAGCCATTTGTTTCTGTAGAATTTACAAAATGACAAAGTGGTTATATACCCAAGCCTTATTTTTCTTTTAGAAGTATTTATTTTATTTTATTTATTTATTTTAAAATTTGCTATAAGGCACATGCACTCACCAGAGAGAAACACAAAGAGAGAGGGAAAATAAGAAAGCAAGCCACCAGGTCTGGGACTAGAACCATGGTAGGCCATGTGGGAGTCCAGGGCCCTAACCAACATGTCACCTACTGGCCTCCCAAGCCTGATTTTTTACTGGCTATTTCAGGATACTGAGGATATATCAGGTTCATCAGAGAAGAATGCCACAATTGATTAGTAATGTCTGCTGGAGAACCTGAATGGGAGGGGGTGCACACTCGTCCCTGCCTGAGGTCCTTGGCCTTGATACTGAGGCACTGTAATCATGGACTTTAACTGCCCTGTTTTGGTCTCCAGGTAATCACTTTTATTGAATTGTATTATACTTTGGTGCTTTGGTTCTAGCTTTAATGGAAAAGAATACTTTAAGAAACATTTAACAAAAAAATCACCACTTTAGTTCCTAAAATAATTTTAAGCATGCTATTCACCTTGTCTTCTCCCAAAGGAGAAATTTCTCTCAGGACTAAGAGCCAGCAAATGCAGTGCTTCACTCTTCTTGAACAACTGGTTTCCATGATGATCTTATAAATAATTATTCTTATAGCTTCCTCCACTCCTCAGCCTTTATTTGTTTGTTTGTTTGTTTTGCTTTGGATATATGAAATCTAGAATCTCAGACTTGAATGGGAAGGTCATCTAGAGTCAAACAGCTTCTCTCTTGTATGAAATTTGGTGCCATTAAACGATCTCATCTTTTTCTACTTGCTCTGATTTTTTATTCTATTTAAATTTTATATGTTCAATATGTATTCCTTTTTGGCTACGGCAGGCTGTAAATAAGTAAAGAAACAGATGGGAGGTAGGAAGGTAGCTAAATAGCTAACAGAAAGACAGCTCAATATGAAAAGCTCCTGACAGAAAGATATGTAGCGACTGGCATAACAAACAGGTTATTAATTGAGGCTTAAAGAGGGTACATCTTAAAATAAACTTAGGCTTCTTGTTTATTTTTATGGGGTTATCAAGTTCATAAAATGCTTCCTGTTATTTCTCATGACCCATTCTATCACCCCAACAGAATGCCACCAAGAGCTGAGCACAGAAAGCGGCCCTGCCATGGGGCTGATTCTCTTCGTGTTCAAGTATCTATGCCGTTATTTCATCTGAGTACACTTGGCTGTGTTTTACGAGATGGTTGCAGTTGGTCTGAGTTGGTAAAGAAACATATGTATTCCCATTACCAAAGTAGGTGTCAAAGCCTCGGCGCGTTGGAAGGCACTCT